TGGAGTTTATCATTCTACATCTCGCTAAGTTGTTGTTCTCCGCTACTCTGACTAACCCAGATCAATTGTGGTGAACCAGATATTTAACCTCACAATCATTACATGGTAAATGATAGATATGACGGTAGAACACAAAAAATTAGCGAAATATACAGTGATACAGCCTACTGAAATGAGCAAATCAGAGGAAAACTCAGCAATCACTTGCCAATAACAAGACTTTAGGATGATAATACTAAACTCGAATATAGCATTGGTGGAAGGAGTAACTGATCACAGGATCTCTGCTCACTGAATCAACACGCTAAACACTTGATCTCGTCTAAGCAATGTAATATTCCCTTTTAAATCTTGTTTTATACTACTTACTACTTCTTAAGTAGCATAGTTCATGTTTCTTTATAATGTTGATTCACCTGTTATGTTCAATTGTATCTCGTTCATCATTTAACATCTTTCACAGTTCATGATGGTGTTGCAATTTCTTTCCTTGTTCCCTGATGTTCTATTTTACCTTGAAAATTTGCGCCTTTACCTCATCGTGAGGACTTACGCGCGTCTTTTATCTTCCTTCAGGTAGCTTGGACATAGCTTTGCTGTTTTAACTGTTGACGCACTCTTTGCAAAGTGCTTTCGTAGAGACAAGACCACAGATACATCTTGAGTTGACGTTTGTATTCTATTGCTTAATAACAAAGAACCGTATTTCAGACGAATCCTGTGTTGTTTTGGATTTTACGCGTAACTCGAACCTTTAGTTTATTGTTGAGAAGTCGCTTGTTCGCTTTAGTTTCGAATTTCTTGGAAGGAAATTCACAACATATGACCAGAACGAAATATCACACATTATAGATATCTGGGAAATTTTGCCACCTGCGATTTAAAAGAATAAAGAACTGTTCGACTATATAAACAGAGCTTGAAAGTCGCATGATTATTTTCGTAGAGGGCGTTACTGGTCAGAATGGATATAAATGGTGTATGTTAAAAGAGCGACAGAAATCACAGGAAATTACTAGCAGTGGGTAAAGATTCTGCACAGAGAAACGTAAGAGACAACGTGGGTATATTCAGAGCAAATCAAGATAGAAGCAGAAGAGGAAATGAAGTACATTATGCAAATGGCTGTTTCAGTGAAAAGTGTACAATATTTGATGACTACTGTACAAGAAGTCAATAATAAACATTCCTTCCTTCATCTCTGTCTCCTCGTTTCTTACAACTGGTGTCGCTGCTTCTGGACGTGATGAAGATTCCGTGGCCTGCAGTGTTCGAGGATGAAGATGTCAAGATCTTCCTCAAGGACTTCGAGTTGGTCGCAGAGTTGATGGGTATCGGGGATCCAGTAGCGAAGGTCGTGGTGTTTGTCACGTTGCCGAGAGGTACAGCGACAGCGGCATATGACAGAGTTGAACGTGTGGATAGGAATGAGACTTGGAAGAGAATGACTGGAGGTGGATTTTGATAGCCCAGTGGATAGGGAGCTGGAGATGTAGCAGTTCCGGAGAACGGAAATTGGAATAGACGAAGACCTGCTGGTATCGTCTGTGAAGTTGACTAAACTACTCCGACAAGCAGTTCCAACCTTGGATGAGGACTCTCAGGAGCAGTTGCTAGCTGCACGGTTCACCGAAAGTGTTTCGAATGCTATCACTCAGAAGCTATGACTAATGAACGCAGCTCAACCCATGGATATCAGTAAGCTGGAGAAGGTCACCAGACAGCTAATGGGTACAGCAGAAGCTGAGGTGGAGTCACTAGAGTTGAATAATATTAGGAAACGAGGACACTGAGACCAGAGAAATAATGTTTATTATTGATACCTTGTACAGCAATCATCAAATATTATACGCTTTTCACTAGGACAGTCTTCTGCACAATGTCTTTCATTTCTTCTTAATACACTCACATTGTCTCCTACATTGGTGGTAATTCTTTATGATTTATGCCACCCTCTCAGCATATACTACTTACATCCATTCTGATCAGTAACGCTCACGACACTTTGACAGGAAGATGAACAATAAATTCTGGTCGTAACGTCATCTTGTAAATTATACACTATCACTGTGTGCTGTATCATATAGACAACTGAATATGGAATTGAAAAGATTGTTCACAACACTATGTAGGCGAGTTTTGCTATCAGATTGTTCAAAGGATTCATCAACACCAATGAAATGAACCTGTCTCCTCGGTTACAATGCATGCGGACAACTACAAGCAGGTTCAAAAACTCCCAGAGAATATCTAGAAGCATGACATTCCAACACAATGTCAATCAAGAGGTGCATAGATATACAACTAATCTACAATCTACTCAAGAGGAGAAGAAAGCTATCCAACAATCAAGAGGAAATTGACCAAATAAATCAATAACGATGGACAGTGTGATAGCAACAATTTCATAACGTAATTTCACTCCAACAAACTTTCTCCGTCAGTATAACTGAAGGGAAGTTAAGGTCAATGAGGTGAAGATCAGTTGAAAGAGAATTGTGTTGAGTGAGAGCTGTGTATGACGACAGGAAGACTTGGCATTAATCTACTGAATGCTCTGATCAGTGAAGTTGTCTTAGCCATGTGGGGAAGTTTAGATTGCTTACTTAACACTTTAGAGATAATAAGAGTGGGTGGTTCGAGACCGTGAGGAATATGACTTGAAACATTTCATAGCAGTTAAGATGTGTTCAATCTGAGTTATTTTCGAATTATTGACAACTTTATTGGTGTTGATAGAAGAGGCAGCGAGAACGTGACTTCAAGTGAATGTAGAGAAGACGTAGGTGGAGGTGGTGAAGATACGCAACGAGCAACAGCATCAAAAACAAGCACCAATCAGCGTCAACGGGAGAAACCTAAAGGAAGTAGTCTCTTTCACCTACACCCATCTAGGCAGGGAGCATTGTTTCAACTACAGGTGGTGGCACAGGCACAGATGAGGATATCACAGCAGTCAGGATCGGAAAGACAGCAAGACAGGCTTTCACTAATCTGAAATCGGTGTGGAGATCAACTGCACTCAGCACAAATTACAAGATCCGGATTCTCGACACTAATTCAGTCAAGTTGGTTGTTTTATGTGATGGTTGAGAGACTTGTTGTATCACGAGAAGCATTTACAACAAACTACAGACATTCATCAACAACAGCTACCACCTACACTCGATACTGAAGATCAGATGAGAAGGCGAGGAAGAATAAGCAAGGAGGAACTCTGGTTGGCTGCTGACGAAGCAAAAAGTTATCACTTAAGAAATCTGGTATAGAAGAAAGTCGAGATGGATTGGTTTCAGCATACACTGAGAAAACCATTGGAAGACATCACGCGGCAGGCCAGGTCGTCGAGTGGGATTCAAAGGGGAAACGACGAGTTGGGTGTCCGTGGTGAGGGCGACATGGAAGAGATCATGTGAGGAAGAAATGAAAGGTTGTGAGCATTCGTGGAGCCCGTTTCTTAAGACTGCAGAGAACAGAGTGAAATGGAGGTGTGCTACTGAAGCCCTATGTTCCACTACGAACCCAAGAGATTAGTTAATTTTAATAATTATTATTATTGGTGTTATTCTCTCTCCTCTCTAAATGGTTGTACTTCTGTTCACTTCGTGTTTGTGTGGTAGTGTAAGTTACATGATTCTACATTGATTTGTCTGAGTGTTAAAAGGTCCTCGTATTGTTACAAAGAAGAAATGTCACATCATTACGCCTACTGGCGGAAACGCGAAAGTCAACCGATGAATTACGATCAACGTTGAGTGCTGATGTGTGATTCGCCTCGTCGGTAACTCTCTCATGACCAATACTTGTTGACGATTCGATTCGTTAAGATGATATTCACAAGTGTGTAACAGTAAGGTAGGGGATCTGTTGAATATTACCTGTATAGTGCATTGGAGAGCGCAAAGTAATGAGAAAGGAAGACAGAGAGGTGGACGAGCTAAGACGAAAGGAGACAGGTTATTAATTTTGTATGCCGACTATCGGATACATGAAGTTTTATGGTAAGCGCACTAAATGCTTGCACAAACACATACAACGGTTCTCGGACGTCTCTGACATTCACTCATGTTTTCCAATTATCTGGTACACAATGTAATGAAGATGTTGAATACAGAAACATATCTCCAGCTGCGCATAACATCGAGTACCCAGGTAACTGAGTGTAATATTGAAGATTGTAGATTTGTACTCCTCTACCATCACTCCCCCTGGGTACAGCTCTTTCCTCAAGGTTTCAAGGACGCCTTGCTGTCAAGTGTCAACTTCATTGATTTTTCTGAGTGTTATAAGATTCTCATATTGTTACAAAGAAGCAGTTTCACGTCACTACACTTACTGGTGGAAGCGGGAAACTCAGCCCGTGATTTCCGACCAACATTGTGCATTGAATTCAAGACTCCTACATCGGTGACTCACTGAGAAGCAGTTTTTTATGAGACCAACCTTGGCATAAATAGCTGAGTACTAATTGTTGTAGCTACGTTCAAGTTTGAGTAACATAATTTCTGATCATCAAGTGAACTGAACTTCCTCAATTTACTGAGGTGTTGCTGTCTACTGATCATGCTCACATCGGCTGCCTGGTCTGGACTTCTCATCCTAATCAAAATGTAACTGAATCAGACAAGGGGTGCATTATACTGATTATCACTTTGACTATCTTATATAACCTTAGTTTGGAAGATTAGTATTGATACTTGGTGGTTATTGATATTGAAATGAAAATTTGAACCACTGCCGGATTCAAACCAGCGACTACAGAGTGTGAATACGATCAGGTGGTAGTAACGCTTCACCAATTGATATGATAATCTCGTAAAAACCTGCTTGTAATTGAATTGCAATAAAAAAAAATTGGTCAGCAGTCAGATGAGTTAGTAGAACACCGATCTGTTAACACCTAGGTCACTGGTTCGAATCCGGTCGCAGTCTAAATTTTCACTTCCTTTTTCAATAATCACTCAGTATGAATGTTTATTTGTTTTAATCAGAGAAAACCATATTCTTGGAAACATTTATTCATAGCATGCTTCAAAGAAGATTATTTTTCTTTGTTTTGTTTAAAATAAATATATATTCATTTAAATAGAGAAGAAAGCAGTGTTAATCTTGTAAACATCAGTTTATTGATGTTTACAGTTTCATTATGAGAAAAGAACTACTTGTATGTCTCCTTCAAAGATAACTATGTTACATATACTTGAATAATATTTGTAACACTGTTTACTATTGTTGTTGTTGTTGTTGTTCAAACTGCATGAAATATTCTACTTGATAATTAGTATCATAATAATAAATAAAATACATTGAGTTATTTTGTAAACGGATAGATAGACAGATAGATGGATAGACAGACATGTAAATAGACAGGCGAATAGATAAGCTTGCAGACAGATAGACAGGTCGGTGGATAGACAGACAGATGAATAGATAAGCTTGTAGATAGATAGACAGGTTGGTGGATAGACAGACAGATGAATAGATAAGCTTGTAGATAAATAGACAGGTCGGTGGATAGACAGACAGGTGAATAGATAAGCTTGTAGATAGATAGACAGGTCGGTGGACAGATAGACAGGTAGGTGTGCATAAAGAAATAAATGTTGACAAAATGTGTAGTCTTGTTGACTATCTAAGTGTGTATGTGTTCATGTTTGTTTGTATTCTTCTTTTTTGTTTTGAAGGGGTCTGATTATTCAGCGTTAATTATCTCAACAACAACAACAACAACAAAAGGTAAGCAGAAAAGTGTTTGGATAAATAAACGATAAAAGATTTGCCAGTTTATTTAGCTTTTAAAAATAAATAAATTATGTGCATATTTATTAGATAATTAGAGAGGGCGCTTATCAAATTAACCATATAAAGAGTTTATCACTTGCTTTAGTAGATGATAATAATGATAAGTTATTTTACTTTGTATTTAGCATTCACCTCTTAACAAATTCTAATGAGAGTCATTAATATGTCGATGTGCACCGAATGACATTCCTGACTGTGAAGCAACTTGATTTTGTGGTAATCCCATTTGTAAACCAATCACAGATGATCCATCTGCTGAAAGATTATCACAGCGTATATCTGTGATATGACGTTGACCACCCATACGCATACCTTTTTGACTAGCTAGTTTATTTGTACCATATTGAAGACTGATAATATTTTGACCTTCTTTTGACATATCATCACATCGAATATCAGTTATATGTCGACTAGCACCCATTCGCATACCCTAGAAAAGAATATAAATTTTAAAATAGAAGATGTAGATTATCTGAAAAATATGGTGACGTATTGTCGCTATACATTTGGAACAATCTGATCCCCCACACATGTACCTGTTAAGGCATAATATATGAAAACTGGAAGTGGAGGAAGGAAATGAAAAAGATAAGACTTGAAGACAATCTTGGTAAAACGATAAAATAAGCATTACCAAGGTAAGCTTAATGTAAGGATAAACTGTTTTTGCACCCCATCAATGGGGGGTTAAATTTATTTATGGCTAGCGCCTCAACAAACTCAAGTATACGCCCCTGATAGTTTCTACACGAAATTGTAAAGGCTGTCTTGATATCAATTCTGTGACTCTTATCAATGATATGTTTTGCAACGGATGCGGATGATGGTTGTCTGCCATCTGCGCTTATCAGTGTTTGTTTGGCGTTCTCTGGGCTGTGTTCTAATCGTATAGCTTCATAGCCTTTCTAGACATCAGCGTCATCAGCACTAACTTCGATATGAAATGAGCTGTCAGCATTTATCTGTGAGTGATTAAGTAACTTGCCCTGACGAACTGCTTTCTGATCGGTTGTTTCCTTCTCTGTGTCATTCACATCAGGAATCGAACAAAGAACCGATAGGCCCCATGGTCAGCACGTTAGTACTGAGCCATTGGGTCAATAAATTAATTCGTTGGTAATCATGAAGAGTAGTTAGCAGTAGAATTCGTTCTATTTCAGACTCATCAGCTGCATGCGCCTACCTCCTAGAAAGCGATATTGTTCCCCCAAAGACTCTAATCGCTGACTGATAGCTTCAAACATCAGAGCGCCGTTATCCACTAGGTCAAGGAACCACTTTCTAAAGTTTGTGCTCATGATGTTGTCTAGGATGACAGTGAAAACTCCACGATTAAATCATCCAGCTCAGAGAACACAACACCATCAATATATAATCTGATTGTCTTCTTTGATCTGTAAAATATGGTTTGAAGGGAACTAGTACGTTTTGTTAACAGCAGACCTTAACCTTCGTCTTAATATTATGCTGTTAGATTCTCCTCTGTATGGGAGTTTGTTTATAAGCAGCACCATTCCATATAATCTCAGTAATCTTGTCATGATCTCTATAGCAACATACTGTCATGAGAATATGATTAGTAGTAATACATTTGAAGCATAATTAGTCCATTTTATGAATTTGTATAGCGTAATTAGAAGACGTAGATTATCTGAAAAATATGGTGACGTATTGTCGCTATGCATTTGGAACAATCGAATCCCCCACACATGTACTTGTTAAGGCATAATATATGAAAACTGGAAGTGGTAGAAGGACACATATGACATAAAGGAATTCAATAATAAGAAAGATAATGAAAGGGAAATGAAAAAGATAAGATTTGAAGACAATCTTGGTAAAACGATAAAATAAGCGTTACCAAGGTAAGCTTAATGTAAGGACAAACTGTTTTTGCACCCCATCAATGGGGGTTAAATGTATTTATGGCTAGCGCCTCAACAAACTCAAGTATACGCCCCTGATAGTTTCTGTACAAAATTGTAAAGGCTGTTTTAATATCAATGATATGTTTTGCAATAGATGCGGATGATGGTTGTCTGCCATCTGCGCTTATCAATGTTTGTGAATCCAGCTGCTTTAGTAGCCACTTTGGAATATGTTCCCCTACCCTTAAGTGCATATCAAGATTCGTCCTCCCTATGTATGTTTGTCCACACATACCCATGTAAATTTATAAATGCAGTGGGATGTGACACAATCGTTTATACAGCGTTGAGGTCTAGGTAGCAGCAGGTGTTTGATCTTCTCAACTATGATAAGCTTAGCTGCATAGTACGTTTTGCTAACAGCAGACCTTAGCCTTCGTTTTAATATTATGCTATTAGATTCTCCTCTGTATGGTAACGCGATGTAAACGCATTTCTTCGAAACAGAGTATAGATCAGGTTTGAATCCTTGCTGATTTTTGCAGCGGTATATGAACTTCAATGGATATCCATTCTCCACTAATGTTTCTGTTAGTATTTTGATATCATCATCCATTGAGTCCTCCGTACAAATACGCTCGATCCTTTTAAATAGACAAGTTACCAAACCTCGCTTGTATTGGGTTGGACAAAAGCTATGGAAACTTAAATACTAACCTGTCCAAGTAGGTTTCCTGTAGATCGACCGTTTTATTGAACCATCATTTCTACTACTTAGGAGTATATCCAAGAATGGCAGACGGTTTTCTTTTTCTTCTTCACTTGTCAGGCTTATGTTGTTTTGTATGTTGTTAGGTCTTTCTAACAAACATGTCGCATCTTCATGCTTATCACATATCACGATTATATCATCAACATATCTTTTATAGAGAGTAACTTTATTGATGAGATCGCCGGTCAAGCTCTCAATGTGTGACATGTAAATATCAGCCAGCAATGGTCCTAAGGGACTTCCCATAGCCACACCATCTATTTGTCAAAAATGTTCACCTTCAAATGTGAAATGAACTTTATCAGTACACAATAATAACAGCTCTCTCAAACACGTTGAGGGGATAGGGAAAGAAGGATTACTGGATGATACATGATCATAAAGAATGTCAATGGTTTTAATTAGGGGTACATTAGTAAATAAGGAGTTGACATCAAATGAATACAATCTCTTATCTTTGATATTAATATCACTGACATAATTAACAAGTTCAAAAGTATAGCGCTAATACATCACATTTTTCAGATAATCTACGTCTTCTAATTACATTATCCAAATTCATAATAGGGACTAATTGTTTCAAAGTAAAATATATAATTGATATGGGGATAGAAGGAAAAGGTTAGTCTGGAAAACGACCAATCAAAATGTACTTTATGTGAAATAATAGAGAATATTTGTAGCTCAGATGGTTCGTCTTGGTTGTATTGTGTTCTCTGAGGAATTGGGTTGTTTAATCATCCAACTTTCATTGTCTTTCTAGACAACATCATTGTCAGCACTAACTTATGTATGAATTGTGAGCTGTCACAATATCTCTCCCTGAGTGATTTACTGCCTTACTCTCACGATGTGGTCTGTGATTGGTTGTTACCTTCGATTATTGTGTCATTGACTGACTACATAGATTTTCCTGTTGGCTGTTTCCTTGCTTGACCTCTGACCTTTCTGTCGTTTATCATTTTCCTCAGTGGTTGATAGATTGGGTCTATGTCTATACATCTACTGACTGCTGACTGACTGACTGATGTGAATGCCAAGCTTCTAGAAATTTTCTGATATTCTCTATGTTCCCTCCCTTCATCCAAGATTTCTACATTGTCGAAATTGAATTCATTTCCATAGTTGTTATCCACGTGGATTGAAATGAGTGATGAAATGTCTGTTGTGACGTTTACTACCCAATTGGTGTTCATGAAGACAAAGGCGAAGGTGTGGCGACCACTTTGTCCAATGTCGTGTTGACTACAGTTATTCCAGTTGATTTTGTAAATGATATTCTGTTTGTCTTCTTGGCTTGTTGCATCTTTTCGTCTGCATGAAAGTGTTTCGAGGGAATTTGTTGGTTTATGAGAGGCCACACTAATTATAGGTGGTCACCGTAATCTTGTCATGATTTCTGATATTTTCTTCATATGCGGTAGAATGATACATTTGTTGATTTCTGTTGATGACTTTGTAGTTGATGATGTGCGGGATAGGCATCTTGTGACAAAGTTTCGTGAGTAGATGTTCTTCCTTGCATTGTGTTCTCGCTCTTTTGAACAGAGGCTGCATGCAGCTAATATTGCGTGTTGTTGGGTTTTTGCTATTGTCGTTGAGGATTTGATCAGTCAGTATGTGTTGACTTCTTGCACACTTGGGTTTCCAGCTTTCCGGCATTTGTCCTCCTGACTAAAACATCCAGGAATGATAGTTGGTTGTTTGACTCTTTCTCCATTGTGAATTTGATGTCACTGAAAACGTTGTTGATCAAACTGTGAGTGTTTTCTGTATCATCTTGTTTTTTAATGATGATAAAAGTATCGTCTACATAGCGAATCCAAATTTTTGGTTTAATCACAGGTAGAATGATCGCTTCTAGTCACTGCATCACTGCTCCTGCAATTATTCCGGATGTCGGTGATCCCATTGGAGTTCCTTTCATCTGTTTGTATATCTTGCCATTGAATTGGAAGTATGCACATGGATAATTATGGAGATGGATTCAATTTCGACAATGTAGAAATTTTGAATAGAGAGAGGAAATACTAAGAATATCAGAAAATTTCTAGAAGCTTGGCATTCACATCAGTCAGTCAGTCAGTCACCAACCAATGGATGTATAGACACACACCCAATCTATCAACCAATGAGAAAAAGGGGTAAACGAAAGAAAGGTGAGAGGTGAAGCAGGGGAACAGCCAACAGGAAAATCTATGCAATCAGTCAGTGACACAACAATCGAAGGAAACACAACCAATCACAGACCACTTCGTCAAGGCAACCTACTAAACCACTCACAGAGAGATATTGACAGCTCACTTCATACTGAAGTTAGTGGTGATGATATCGCTGTCTAGAAGGACGATGAAAGCTGGATGATTAAACAACTCAGCTCTTCAAAGAATACAATACAGCCAGGTACTTTATGTGAACACATCTGCAGTTAGATAGACAGACAGACGGTGGATCAACCAATCAGTGAGATTATTTTAAACAGCCAACTATCTATATATATCAGATGTATTTTTTTGCGTTAGGTCTTCACTCTTTCCTCCCTAAAAACACGTTACTACACGTCCATCGTATCTTCCGTATTCATTAGTCGGGTCGCGAATCAATTACGAATTTCAAGTTTTTATTCATCGTAGATTGACATCAGTTGGAGGAACGAAAGAAACCTGGGAGCACTGGACAGCCATCTCGTCCCAGTATGGGACTCCTCAGCAGTGTGCACCCACTACCCCGCATTACCACTGGGTCGAGCCCGCGACCTCCAGGTTTCGTGGCCAGCGCGTTACCATCGAGCCACTTGGTCAGAAGCCAATGGTCCATATTTCCAATGATATAGTGCAACCGCCACCCAATGTTATCGTTCAGTAACTGTCCTCACGACCATCAGGCTTCACCCCCACCGGTTATGACTTCTCACTAGAACTTCGGGAATACTTCTCGAAGCTAGTCATCAATGAGCACGAGTTCAATTGAATTTTGAGGGAGTTGTTGGGATTTGGAAATATTTCAATTTTCTATGCTCAATTATAACGTGCTGGCCACGGAACTTGAAGGTCGCGGGTTCGATCCCTGGTGGTGCGGGGTCGTGGGTGCGCACTGCTGAGGAGTCCCATACTAGGACGAAATAACCAGCTATCCAGTGCTCCCAGGTTTCCTTTGTTCCTCCAACTGATGTCAGTATGATGAATAACAACTTGAAATATTTCCAAATCTTCACAACTCCTTCAGAAATCTACGAATTTGTTGAACGTTGGTGGTTGACAGCCGATATCTATCCATCATTAGTGGTCATAGCATATAGCAGTTTTTGAACCATAACAATATTAAAACGTTTTAGTGGAATAAACAGATTGTCTTATACTTTTCTTGGTGGTCATCAGTAATGGAAAGCAGCATGTACCTTTTGGCCTATTTTCAACTCATTAACCGATCATACCTGCATCTGAGCAAATTTTCTCATTTCGATTGGAGCTTGGCAACCCATCACCTCAAACAATAAAATACTTTCTAGTAGGCTACTGAGTTATGTGAGCCACCTATTGCGTAACAGATAATAGTGGCTATTTGTTGATACTTAAGGTTTTCTACTAATTAAATTCATGTTGTCTTGTCCTGAGTACTGACCAAATTTCATCGATCATTTCTGCAATGCAACCAGGAAGCTAGGGGGGGGGGGTTGACATAGCAGTGCACTATGATGAATGTTAGTTTGGTTGGAAGCAATCGGCAGGAAGCACAGGACTAGACCTTACAGAATTGGTTACTCTCCAGGTGATCAGTTGTGGCCCGAATAGCTCATTGGTAATATTGCTGACCCGGACCTCGGAGAGGACTTCACTTCTCTTAAGGCTGCAGATATGCATCATTTTAAAGGCTACCTTAGCAACTGATGGGTAAGCCAACTAAATTCCTCTACTTTAAAAAAAGTCCCTTCTCAGGTGAAATATCGAAACCTGGTTGGTCTATTTAGGAGTTGCTAGGGTGGCCTTTAAAGTCATTCATAGATACTTCTCGGTGACTAGTCCCAACAAGCTCAAATTCTTAGTTGATGAGAGTTCCTTGCCGATTGCCTCTAACTAAGTGAACTTGTTTTGAATAATTCATTTTCCATGGAGGAAATCGGTCATATCGTAAGGAATGACAGACACTGAAAGGCAGAAGAGATATGACATTTTGTACAGTACTGATTAAATATTGTACACCTTCCACTAAGACAGTCATTTTCATAATCTACTTCATTTCCTCTTCTCTGTCTTTCTTGATTTGCTATTCATACACCTGCCTTATCTTTTGCGTTTCTCTTGCGGAATCCTTACCCATAGCTGGTAATTGTCCATGATTTCCGCCGACTTCACAACATATATTACTTAAATGCATCCTGATGAGTAAAACACACTACAATATTACTTTTGTGAATTCTAGTACTTAGAAAAGGCTACCCTTCCAGTTGAAATAAAGAGATATGAATGGTTCTTTCAAGCGTTGCTATGACAGCCTATAAGGTCACTAAGTCATTCATCTACATGAATCGACACTTGAACTGAACTTAACGCAAGATAAGCTATCCGAAACGTCCAACCTGAAGTTTTCCTTCATCTGTCACTGTACAATAAAAGACAAAGTTTAACAACCTCCTACCTTGGTATTCTATACTACCTGGGTCATGCGAAACATGGATAAATAAGTGTAAATTACATAACCACTTAAGGTGTAATTATTATTCCCATAGACGAATCTTACTGAACTGAATGAGAGGTCCTTGAATAACTTTCTAGTTGAGCTATTATACAATACTACTATGAATGAGGTAATAAGTAGAATGTCTTTAAATAAATCAAAAATTACCCTGGAGGAGAATAATATAGGATAAGAACGTGGGCATTGTGGTCGATTGTAATTCCATTTCAGTCTGTTGATTAAAAATGTCACACACAGTGAACGAACAGTATCGCTTACTGGATAACTTACTTTATTGTCCGTATTCATATCAGGTAACAAACTCCACAACTTCAAGATAGACTTTATATAGTCCTACTTTTCTCTCCTTCTCCGTGATGACAAGGGTAGTAGAATTTCCCACATTCCCTGGGACAGTTGCCAAATCATTTCGATCACTGCATGTAGTTGGCATGTAGTTGATTCGATAAACAAAGATTCAGTCACTTATCAATCTCTCCCTCCATCCATCCATCCAATGAAGTTACTTCTTGACGACGTCTCTCTATTCCACCCTACATTGTGATAATGTGTAGTTGCGTGCAGAGCTATAGTCAGCCGAACTTCCCTCTAAATGTCTTATCTTATTAGGATCTAGATATCTTGATTTAGCTAGAACTTTGTGCTCTGTTATTCTGATAGACCCTGGCTAGTCGACTTCTTTAACTCACTCATGTATTTGACCTCACAATCATTGCAAGGGATTTGATGAATCGAATTGTTTACTCATTTACATGAATAGGAGAATGTTTTAACCTACAAAGCTTGTTTCTGTGCTTTGAGTTTGTTGGTTTGAATGGCACTTTAATCCTAGCCAACCCTGTTGAGGATTCTTCGTAATGCTTGTGAGGTGCCTTCCTTGTATGATAACATAGGAGAGGCTTTGAATTCTCTCTCCATCCTGTGACCACTATTACCATTGATAGTCGAAGGATTATTGTTGATAACACCTGTATTATCACTACCACTACTACTACTATTACTCACAGTACTCTTCCAATTTCTTGTCAGTTTATTTATAAACTGAGGTGAGTACTTATTAAGAAGCGTGAGGTATTCTTTGTGTGTCTAATTCCCGATCTTAGATTTTCTGTTCTACTAGTAGTAAATATCTCTGCCTTATCACTTCGACATTTAACTATGTCTACTTAAAGTGAGAGGTGAGGTGGGAGGATTTGAAGTGTAAGTAGCGATTGAAATGGTTAGGTTTCCTCTAAACTTCCATGTTATTTTAGTTCAATCTAGCAATGCACCACTCGCTAGCTCACTCTGACCACTGTCAAAGTTATATGAGTAATTGAATTGCATTCACTACTGGATTTGTATATGTCAAGAACCTGTTGGTGTATTCCAATTTCAGTACTGTAAACGTATCATCTGCATATCGGAAGTATATCTTTTGAGTAGGACTAAATGTTTCAAGGGCCACCTGTTCCCAATTATCCTTAAATATGTCTTCGACGATGGGGGATATTGGTGATCGCATGGCAACATCTTCAGTTTGTTTATATGTATATATTATTTTGAAACTTAAAAACTTTGGATGTCAGGTGCAATCGTACTCCTAGTGTGACTTCCTCCACCGGAACCTTAGTTCGATGCGCAATCTCATTGTCATCCTTGAGCTCATTTCTAACGGCTTCAAAAGCAATATCGATCGGTATAGTGTGTATAGTGTAAAGGTTAATTATGTCAAAAATAACCATTTTTCCATCGTTATCTAAGTGTATGACATGGAATCTATACTTTATGTCTTAAAGTTGTGTGGGGTTGGTTACCTGATATAAATATAGACAATAAATAGTGTCCAAAACCTACATTATGCAGTAAATGCTACTACTCTTTCATTTCTAATCTAATAAACAGATTAAAATATGAAGATAATGTTTTGAGGGAGTTGTGGAGATTTGGAAATATTTCAAGTTGTTATTCATCGAAGACTGACATCAGTTGGAGGAACAAAGGAAACCTGGGAGCACTGGACAGCTGTTTCGCCCTAGTATGGGGCTCCTCAGCAGTGTGCACCCACGACCCCACACCACCAGGGATCGAACCCACGAACTTCAAGTTCCGCGGCCAGCGCGTTACCATTAAGCCACTGGATCAGAACCCAATGCTCCATATTTCCAACTTCTGTTAGTTCACGATATAGCGCAACCGCCATTTGCTCCTTTGTTCCTCCAACTGATGTCAGTCTTCGATGAATAACAACTTGAAATATTTCCAAATCTCCACAACTCCCTTAAAATTTAACTGCAATGGTGCTCATCGGTGACTAGCTTCGAGAAGTATTCCCGAAGTTCCAATGAGAAGTTGTGACCGGTGGAATCAAAGCCTGATGGCCGTGAGGACAGATATTCAACGATGACATTGGGTGGCGGTTTGCGCTATATCATGAGCTAACAGAAGTTGGAAATATGGAGCATTGGATTCTGACCCAGTGGCTTAGTGGTAACGCGCTGGCCGGGGAACCTGAAGGTCACAGGTTCGATCCCTGGTGGTGTGGGGTCGTGGGTGCGCACTTCTGAGGAGTCCCATACTATGACGAAACAACCAGCTATCCAGTGCTCCCAGGTTTTCTTTGTTCCTCCAACTGATGTCAGTCTTTGATGAATAACAACTTGAAAGATAGTGTTTGTTGAAGATGTCTACTTGTATTTTAATTCTCTATTTATTATATACAACATATCTATTGAACAAACATTTCAATCAATCAATGAGTTATTTACTAACCTTTTGTGAAGCAAACTGATTTGTACCCATTTGAAGATTAATAACTGATTTGCCTTCTTGACTTAATTCATCACATTTTATATCCGCAATATGACGTTGATTACTGAAACTCATTCCTTTCTGTGATGCAAATTTATTTGTACCCATTTGTAGACTGATTACTGCTGCACCTAAATATCCAATTATTTCATTTGAATAGTAATAATAATAATAACAGAAGATTAAAATCTTCTATTTTATACATTCAAAGTTAAATATGAACGAATAATATTCTTTTCAACAACTCATCAGATTCCATAGTTATAAAGTCAATTTTGACCCCATGGCCGCTGGTTCGAGTCCGGTCACAGTTAAAATTTTTATTTCACCTTCAATCATCATCTAGTATAAATAACTAGTCTATAAAACCACAGGTGAAATCTCACACAATCAAAAATCATAAACGTATCAACAAATAGAATTTACGGTAAATGTATCGACGAATAGGTATGAAATATTGGATCGTCTTGGTTGGATTATCCTCTCTCAGCTACACTGTCTATTCATACAGCTTTCATCGTCTATGTGAACAACATCATCATCAGCACTGACTTCTGTATGAATTGTGAGCTGTCACAATATCTCTCCCTGAGTGATTTACTGCCTTACTCTCACGATGTGGTTTGTGATTGGTTGTTACCTTCGATTATTGTGTCATTGACTGACCGCACAGATTTTCCTGTCGTCTGGCTTTTCCTCTGCTTCACATCTCACCTTCCTGTCGTTTAGCAATTTCCTTAGTGGTTGATAGATTGGGTCTATGTCTATACATCTATTGATTACTGACCGGCTGACTGATATGAATGCCAAGCATCTACGAATTCTCTGATAATATTCTCTATGTTCCCTCCCTTCATTCAAGATTTCCACACTGTCGAAATTGAATTCATTTCCACAGTTGTTATCCATGTGGACTGAGCGACGAGTGATGAGATGTCGTGTGTGACGTTTAATAGCCAATTGGTGTTCTCATGTGGACGAAGGTGTGGCGACCACATTGTCCACTGTAGTGTGTTGACTACACTTATTCCAGTTGATTTTGTAAATGATATTCGATTTTTCTTTGGTCTTTAGTTGTCCCATCCTATGATCTGCATAATAGGTATAGACGGTAGTGTAACTTATGTACATATATGTGTATGTCAATTACGACGGGATGAGGCTAAAAGTTATCCTCATGTGTTATCCTCCTCAACATAGATTGTAGATGTCAATTCCGTGTTCTCTTTAAATATTTTACCTTTTTGGATAGTTTTAAAATACCGATTGTCATTGAATCCTGTCTCAAACTCTCTATTTATATGAAAGATGTTGGCAACACCTCCACTACTCAGTCGAAGAATAAGTACAATTATTCACTATGAATGATGCTTAGAAATCACAGTGACTTAGTTGAGACTTCAAACTATATCTGAAAAGATTTATCCTCGAAGTTTTTATTTCAAAACATATGAACATAGAACACATAAAATATGTATTCTCAGAGAGGATGCTATAACGATGATGGATAGTTGCTGGCAGTAGAATCCAGGATGTGCATTTCGTACTGTACTTCTCACTCACTCACTCAGCCACATCATCCTGGAGACAGTGAAAAACGCTCCCCATTCAAAAATACGTTCTTTACAGACCGGCTGGATTCAGAAAGAACAAATCATGTGAGCATCAAATTGAAATGCTACACTACGCATCATCATACAACACAGCATAGAATGCCAGTCAACCATCTACCTCAACTTCATCGAAGTTCAAAAGGCCTTCGATCGAGGCATCGACCAAAAGGTAATTTGGCAAATGCTTCAACACTACTGTTTCAGTGCCACAAACCTCTATCAACCTCATTCAAAAGCCAGTTTATGCTACATGATGATGATGCTACATGCCAAGTGATTTACAATGGGAAGCTCAGTGATGCGTTTGAAGTGAAAGCAGGTTGAAAGGTAAGACAAGGTTTCCGCCTACTAAAACTGCTCATCTTCCTGATTGTGGTCGACTGAACTGAACTAGACTGCACTGGATCATACAAGAAACGAGCTGTGAGAAGATGGGCATATGCTGTTTGACCGATGAGAAGACCCTAGGAGATTTGGATTTCGTCGATGATGATTTATGTTCAGTGTCTAACGTCGCACAAACGCGAAGGATGTACAGGCCAAAACCAAAAAGCTGGTCGCATAGGCGAGGTGAGGTGAGGCAGCGAAGGAAGACGAGACTTCCTTCAGATGAATGTAGAGAAGACACAGGTGATGAGGATACCCAAATGACAACCAACCACCACCACAACAAGCACGAATCACCATGAACAGGAGGAATCTAAATGAAGTTGTCTCTTTCACCTACCCACCTACCTACCTAGTAGGTAGCATCGTTTCAAATACAGGTGACACAGGCACAGATGAGGTTGATAAAGCCAGGATGGGAAAGACAGCAAGACAGGCCTAGTTTGATCTGAAATATTCAGTGGGGATATCTACTGCACTGCATTGTACCCAGCATAAACCATGAACAATATCCGGATTTTCAACATTAAAGTCAAGCCAGTGCTTCTATATGGTTCATGCAAAGACTTGGCGCGTTACGAATAGCATTTCGAACAAACTGTAGACATACATCAACAGCTACCACCTACACTCACTCAATAGTGAAGATGAGATGAGATGAGATGACCAGAAAGAATAAGCAAGGAGGAACTCTGGTCTGCCAATGAACTAACCAACAATGCAATAAACTATTGCCCAACAAGTGTGAAGAAGAAGAGAGTGGAGATGGATTGGATTGGATAGGGCATAGACTGAGAAGATGGTTTGGGGACATGACGTGTCACGCCAGACCAGGCCAGTCCATGCTATGCCATGCCATGCCAGGCCATCGAGTGGAAGCGAAATGTGAAACGACGAGTTGGGTATTCGAGCTGAGGGTGATATGTAGGAGATGGTGTGAGGAAGAAATGAAAGGTTGTGAGGAGTTGTGGAGTGAAGTTAGTGAGACTTGAGAGAATAGATTGAAATGTCAAGGTGTAACTGAAGCCGTATCTGTTCCACTAGGAACCCAATGGACAAACATTAATAATAATAAATAATATTTTATGTCGTTTCGTAACCGTATCCACTTCCAAGGTACAGTTTAAGCCCCCCTCCGACTAGAATCTATTGAAATGAAGTCCTAAGTAGTCCTCATTCTACTGGTCAAATAAAAATATACGGAATAGGTTTTCATTTACCTTCTGGTGTCATTTCGTCACATTTGATATCAGCAATATGACGTTGAGCACCGAATGACATGCCTTTTTGAGAGGCTAATTTATTTGTTCCAGCTTGAAGACCAATTATACCTTCACCAGCTCGTAATTTCTCTTCTGTCCATTGACGTGGTTGTGAATAAGTTGGTTTTGGTCCACAAACTGGTCCTTGAAATCCATTACGTTGACACTAACATGTAGTATAAGAAGGAAACTGTGCATTATAATGTTGCTAAATCGAAAGAATAAAGAATTGAGTTTGTCTCAAAAATTATACTACCTGACTGACCAAACCTCATTAGGTGGAGGGGCAGGGTTCGAACTTGTTGCTCATTGGTTGAAAGTCAATTAGCTAAGACAATGAGCCATAACAATATTGTACGATCTTTATTTCACGTTAGTCAATGATACAATATGACCTGATATTGTTGAGTAAAGATCGACTTTATCTCAATCTCAAGAAAGTGGAGACGTAGCCTACTGGACACAAGATCAAGAAGAGGAGCAGATGTATGTTCAGACCATTATCAGAACAAAGTGGGAGACATTAAGCAACTTCCCTGAAGGATCGGGTGTGGAAGAACACTGGAACTCTGAAAGCTGTGTGGAAACAAACCTGTATAACTATACTAGGAAGGAAGAGGAAGCAAGATAAGACAAGGAATGGATCTCGACGGACATATGGAAGCTGACAAAGCAGGGAGGGGAAGATGGTGAAGCAGAAAATGAACCAGTGCAAGTATGCACAACGAAAATAAGAACTGAGTACAACGTATAAAACACTCGACAAAGAAGTGAAGAGGAGTGCGCGCAAAGACGAAAGACACGTCTACGACACATTGGCAGGCAAGCAGAACAGGCTGCAGGTAAGAGAGACCTGACAACATTAAATCGAATAACCAAGTTACTACCTGGGACGTTAGAGATCAACACAGATGAAACCAATGAAAGATAGTGGGAGGAACTTAGTAACCAAAGAGGAGAAACAAAGAAAAGGATGAGCTGACCACTTTGAAAAGCCCTTGAATCGACCACCACCATCACCACCGCCAACTGCAACTCGTCCAGAAATACCACCAGCAGCCACAGAACTACAAGTGAACACATGCCCTCCGACAAAAGCAGAAGTCATGGATGCAATAAAACTGCTGAAATTCGGGAAAGCTGCATGATGAGATGGAATTCCACCAGAAGCACTGAAAACAGACTCAGAGACAACAACAGCGGACATGTTCACATCACTACTGCAGAAGGTTTGAAAGGAAGGAAGGGAAGGTACCTGCCTATTGATTGGAAGAAGGGCTACCTTGTCAAACTCACAAAGAAGGGAGACCTAAGCCTTTGCGAGAACTGGCGTGGAATCATGCCCCACGCCTGTCCACCCAAGCAAAATATTAAGCCACATCATCTTGGAGACAATAAAAAAATACTCTCCATTCAAAATTACGGAACAGGCTGGATTCAGGAAGAACAAGTCATTAGCGGATCAAATTGAAGCGCTACGCTACGCATCATCACAGAACAGAGCGCAGAATGCCAGTCAACCATCTACCTCAACTTCGTCGACCTTGAAAAGGTCTTCGACAGCGTCAACCGACAAGTAATTTTGCAGTTGCTTCAACACAACGGAGTGCCACAAATCAACCTCATTCAACAGCCATATGAAGACGCCACATGTCAAGTGATCCACAATGGGTAGCTCAGTGACACCTTTGAAGTGAAGACAGGAGTAAGACAAGGCTGTCTATTAGCATGATGATCTTCCTGATTATGGTCGACTGGACCACGCAGCAAACCATGAAGAGCGAGAAGATGGGCATACGTCGGGCCGATGAAAAGAGCGTGGAAGATTTAGATTTCACCGATGATGATTTATGTCTAATGTCTTGTCGCACAAACTCGAAGATGTACAGGCGAAAACTAAAAAGTTGACAGAAGTACAGCGAGGTTGGCACTTCCTTCAGGTGAACGTAATGAAGACGGATGTGATGAAGTTACGCAACCAACAACAACAAGCACCAGTCACCATAAACGGGAGGAACCTAAAGGAAGTAGTGTCTTTCTCATACACACATTCCTGGACAGCATCATTTCAACTACAGGTGGCGGCAGAAGCACAGACGAGGATGTCAAAGTCAGAATCGGAAAAGCAAGACAGGCTTTCATTAATTTGAAATCAGCGTGCAGATCTACTGCACTCATCACAAAGAATAAGATCCGGATTTTCAACGTTAATTCAATCAAATCAGTGCTGTTATATGGTTCAGAAACTTAGCGCATCGCGGAAAGCACTCTCAACAAACCACAGACATTCATCAACAACTGCCCACCCTAGCTACTTACTGAAGTTTCCAATGGCCAGGAAGAATAAGCAACAAGGAATTCTGGACTGGCAACGAACCAACAAAGAAGCTATCACTCAACAAATATGCACTGGAAGGAAGTGGAGAAGGACCGGGCATACACTGAGAGAGCCGACTGGGGACATCACGCGTCAGGCCAGGTACTCCAGTGGAACCGTGATGGGAAGCGACGAGTTGGGCGTCTGAGGTGAGGGTGACATGGAGGAGATCGTGCGAGGAGGAAATAAGAGTTTCTGGGAGGGCTGTCGTGGAGCCAGGTTCAAAAATTACAGAGAACAGAGGTCACTGGAGATGTGTTACTGAAGCCCTATATTCCATTAGGGACCCAAGAGACAAATAATAATAATAATAATCAATAATAAGAAACTCATTTCAAAGATTTTCAAGTGATCAATCAATTTGTCCAGTGAACTCTACATCTCATCAATATTTTCACTAAACACAGCAAGATATTCTGTATACTTCAAGTTGATTGATACTTTGATAGAAGTATAATCTCCTAGTGATCTTGAGTAACCACCAATTAGAAAACTTCATAATTACAGTAGATTCATAATAATGAGGAAGATCCATACACATCGAAATAGAAAACTTGAAAGTTAACTCAGTAAAAAAAACAGCGAATAGATTTCCTTAATATAGGATAAGAACGTGGGCATTGTGGTCGATTGTAATTCCATTTCAGTCTGTTGATTAAAAATGTCACGCACAGTGAACGAACAGTATCACTTACTGGATAACTTACTTTATTGTCCGTATTCATATCAGGTAACCAACTCCACAACTTCAAGATAGACTTTATATAGTCCTACTTTTCTCTCCTTCTCCGTGATGACAAGGGTAGTAGAATTTCCCACATTCCCTGGGACAGTCGCCAAATCATTCCTGTTACTGCATGTAGTTGGCATGTAGTTGATTCGATAAACAAAGATTCAGTCACTTATCAATCTCTCCCTCCATCCATCCATCCAATGAAGTTACTTCTTGACGATGTCGCTCTATTCCACCCTACATTGTGATTATGTGTAGTTGCGTGCAGAGCTATAGTCAGCCGAACTTCCCTCTAAATGTCTCATCTTATTAGGATCTAGATATCTTGATTTAGCTAAAACTTTGTGCTCTGTTATTCTGATAGACCCTGGCTAGTCGACTTCTTTAACTCACTCATGTATTTGACCTCACAATCATTACAAAGGATTTGATAAGCCGAATTGTTTTACTCATTTACATGAACAGGAGAATGTTTTAACCTACAAAGCTTGTTTCTGTGCTTTGAGTTTGTTGGTTTGAATGGCACTTTAATCCTAGCCAGCCCTGTTGAGGATTCTTCGTAATGCTTGTGAGGTGCCTTCCTTGTATGATAACATATGAGAGGCTTTGAATTCTCTCTCCATCCTGTGACCACTATTACCATTGATAGTCGAAGGATTATTGTTGATAACACCTGTATTACCACTACCACTAACACTACTACTACTACTACTACTACTACTACTACTACTACTACTACTCACACTACTACTACTACTACTACTACTACTACTACTCACACTACTACTACTACTCACACTACTACTACTACTACTACTACTCACACTACTACTACTACTACTACTACTCACACTACTACTCACACCACTACTACTACTACTCACACTACTACTCACACTACTACTCACACTACTACTACTACTACTCACATTTCTCTTCCAGTCTCTTGTCAGTTTATTCATAAACTGAGGTGGGTACTTATTAAGAAGCGTGAGGTATTCTTTGTGTGTCTAATTCCCGATCTTAGATTTTCTGTTCTACTAGTGGTAAATATGTCTGCCTTATCACTTCGACATTTAACTATGTCTACTTAAAGTGAGAGGTGAGGTGGGAGGATTTGAAGTGTAAGTAGCGATTGAAATGGTTAGGTTTCCTCTGAACTTCCATGTTATGTTAGTTTAATCTTGCAATGTACCACTCGCTAGCTCACTCTGACCACTGTCAAAGTTATATGAGTAATTGAATTGTATTCACTACTGAATTTATGTGCTAATAACCTACTAATGTGTGACTGATACGAGTAAGTTTTCTTTTCAGTATGGATACTGAAAAGAGGTTCGACTCGCTGTTTTTCACAGGCTCCCGTACTGAGTTTTCTTTTAACTAGTAAGATGGTTACAAAGTCTCTATTAACTACAAGCGTTTTCACATGCTATAGTCTTCTAATTACACATTAAGTTCAGGCGTTTTATTTCACACTTCACCGCTCACTTATCACTCAGTATTCTTTTTAATGGCGTAGGAGAGATTCCAACAAATGCTTGAAGCAGCATTTTAACTGGGCAACAAAAGTCTAAATGAAATTTCAGATAACAGGTTACGATGTTGACTGTGTTGTCTGATCCAGCTTTTTTTGAGTTGGAGTATGTTGTCATGTGTCCGGGTCCGGGGCATAGTTTTCTTATATTGGTAAGAAAAAGTGGATTTCACTAGACAGTATATTGTTCTTTGAGTCAATGAATGTCAGGGTTTCTTTGACTTGTATGCATGTGATTGATTGGTTGATCTCAAAATGGCTTTCATCAGTGGACGAAATCAGTAATGGGATCGATAAAAAAAATGCTAGAGCACTTGGTTTCTGGTTAATTCTTGCTTCGAACTCCTAAGAAGTGTTCATCCACAACTCTATGGTATACGAGGTAACACATGGCATCTTCACGTCTTGTGACTACCACACTGCCTACCTACTATCCAACCTCTCAGTAAGAACTCAACCGTCAGGTGTTTGCAAATCCTATTAATCAGCAATGTAGCACAACCATCATCCTCACTTTCATCGAACGATATCCTAAATGAACCGACATATCACGTTTTCATATTCAGACTTCAAGAGATTCTTTCATAGGTGAGCCACTAATCAGTATGGATTCTCATTCGGCATTAAATAGGTTACCTTATGCCTGACTACTTTTAACAGTCCCATTTCTTTACTAAATTAAATGAAACAACCAATTTGAAACAGGCACTTTACAGTCAACTTTAATCATCAAGTTGATGTTCGTCATGCGATGACATCAGCTGAAGTACTACCGGAAAACGGGGAACAGTAAAAAGCGGTTTCGTCCCAGTACGAGGCTCCTCAGCACTACACACTGACAACCTTAACCCGCTAGTTTTCGGACCGAGCGCCTTTATGTCTCCTGCTGAACAGTCTTTCCTAATTCTGTTCATTACTACCCAGTATTCATTAGCGATATGCTGCTAGATGAAGTTCTAATGGGAATTCATTAACCATGGAGTTAACCGAGTTCAGTGTGAGAGGAAATATTTCTGGATACCTCTAGATGCTGGCTGTGCTATATCATGAATTGACAGATAAAATGAGATATGAACAACTGGGTCCCTGCTTCGTGATTTAATGATGAAGTGTTCGCCACGAGGTCACATAGTCCTAAGTTCGATTACTGGTGGGGGTCGTGGTTATGCATTACTGAAAAGTCTTATAATGGTACGAAAAAGCCGTCCAATGCTCTCAGATTTTCAATGATTTCCCAACAATTATCAGTCTGTAATGAATACTGCCTTAGAATCAATAAATTGACACAAATTCTACAGATTGGTTAACAGATAAGAAGATGTACACTCACCTCTGTGCCTAACTGCAATAGTGTAGCTAAAACTTGAGCCATATTTCTTGCCTCAAACAAATCAACCGTTTGAAAGAGACATTCACGTGGAACACCATATGCCTCAGACAGATCAAGAAATTTTTGAATATTCTCCATCTGTAAAAAATGTATAGGAAAAATAAAATATTTTCATTGTGTTAAAGTTGAATGACTGTCATTCTTGATGTACTTATCATCCGATATAAGAATGTATACCTCAAAAGATCAATCTACAGTAAAGCAAAATGGAATGGATAACTAACTAATTTTTATAGTTGGATGCCTGTCAACTGAAAGATAAGTGAAGGAAGAACAAGCAGGAATTTCAGCGAACAGTCTCTTTTTAGGCGATTTCATTTTCAATGCTGTACACAATCACATATTTATACATCTTCCTTTTAGTGTAAGAATAGTTGATGGTTGAAAACGGTTTGTCAACCATGGCGGGCAACACACATAGTATCAATCATGTAAGCTGTCAATTAAATCAAAAACTTTGATGAATAGTGAATACTAATCAAAATAAGTTTGAACAAGAAAACATTTCGTGTCATGACGATGACATAATTAGAAAGTGAAATGTGATCAGGTAGAGCATAGCAAATGAAGAGTGGTGAAACAGAAAAATGGAAAGAAAAGGTGGGTGATGTACGGTAGAGGAGACTGAAAACTAAGATGATGAAAGGAGAAGGAGTTTAACAATTTGAATGATAAGAGCTTGACCAATGCAGAGAATATGAAGATATACAACCTTTGGGAGGTTTCTTTTCAGTTTATAGATGACTTTGAACGAGAAGATTCTTGAGATAGAGGGATTCGTGTTCACAATGTGTTTAACTATAGCACTCCTTATGGTTTCATTGTTGCCTCTTTGTAACTAAGCTGGATAGTGTTCTTGAACCCTTTTGGATAACAGTGTCATGGAACATCCTATATACCTGTCTCCACAAGAGCATATGAATTGAGATATGCACACAGAAAATAGTCGGATGTGAAAGTTTCTCCTCTGAGTTGTTTGAAATCATTGGGCTACAAGAGAATACTAGTCTGTGTTGATGCAAGGAATGTTCTCCTTAGAACCCTTAATATCCTCGTGTTTAGAGTGTCAGCAGCAGAATCCCGTATGACGTTGAAATTCATAAAGAGTATGTTTTTTGGCATGGTGGTAAGATTTTCTATTGCGAGGTTTAAGCTTGATGTGTTTGTCTATAAAGCGTGATATGAATCCGGTTAAAACCAGTATGCTCTTTAGAACAGAAATTTCTTCTTCTAACACATCGGGAGTGCAGATTCGTCTAGTGCGAGTGGCAAGAGAAATGATCAAACTCGCTTGCGACTCATAGAGACTCGACGGCGCTCACTCCATACTAAAGATCAGATGAGATGAGATGACCAGAAAGATTAAGCAAGGAGGAACTCTGGTCTGCCAATGAACTAACCAACAATGCAATAAACTATTGCCCAACAAGTATGAAGAAGAGAGTGGAGATGGATTGGATTGGATTGGATATAGACTGAGAAGATGATTTGGGGACATGACGTGTCACGCCATGCCAGACCAGGCCAGGCTATCGAGTGAAAGCGAAATGTGAAACGACGAGTTGGGTATTCGAGCTGAGGGTGATATGTAGGAGATGGTGTGAGGAAGAAATGAAAGGTTGTGAGGAGTTGTGGAGTGAGGTTAATGAGACTTGAGAGAAGAGACTGAAATGTCAAGGTGTAACTGAAGCCGTATCTGTTCCACTAGGAACCCAATGGACAAATAATAATAATAGTAATACACGGTATAATATGATCTATAAATATGGCACTCAGAAATGTAGGATATGTTACGCACAAAGAGAAGCAAAATCAACATTGGACTCCAAACACAACTGTATCGGTTCAACTGGCTATACTTCACAATAGTATACAAAAGGTTAGTGGATAGAAAAAGACTGGTGGTTCCACTATATGTGAGAAATCTAACGAAGATACCTATGATCAAAGCCGTGTAACCTCTTCATATCTTCTACTTTTCATGGCCGTATCTCACAGTCGAATTACAGCGTTTTCCTCTCTACCATTACCAATATTATTATTATTATTATATTATTATTAGTCCCTTGGGTTCCTAGTGGAACATAGGGCTTCAGTAGCACGCCTCCAGTGACCTCTGTTCTCTGAGATCTTTTGAACCTGGTCCCACGACAGCCCAGAAGCTCTCATTTCCTGCTCGCACGACCTCCTCCATGTCACCCTTGGACGTCCAACTCGTCGCTTCCCATGGGGATTCCACTCGAGGGCCTGACGCGTGATGTCCTCAGTCGGCCTTCTCAGTGCATGGCCAATCCATCTCCACTTCTTCCTGCATATTTGTTGCGTGATAGGTTCTTGGTTGGTTCGTTCCCAGAGTTCCTTGTTGCTTATTTTTTCTGGCCATCTGATCTTCAGCAGCGAGCGTAAGCAGTTGTTGATGAATGTCTGTAGTTTATTGGAAATACCTTTCGTGACGCGCCAAGTCTCTGAGCCATACAAGAGCACTGACTTGACGTTGGTGTTGAAAATCCGTATCTTGTTCCGCATGCTGAGTGCAGAAGATCTCCACACTGGTTTCAGGCTAATGAACGCCTGTCTTGCTTTTCCGATTCTGACTTTGACGTCCTCGTCCGTCCCGCCTGTAGTTGAAACAGTGCTTCCTAGATAAGTGAAGGAGGTTACTTCCTTTAAGTTTCTCCCGTTGACAGTGATTGGAGTTTGTTGTTGTTGTTGTTGATGGTGGTGGTGCGGTATCTTCATCACTTCTGTCTTCTCTATATTCACCTGAAGTCCCGTCTTCGCTGCCTCTTCTATCAACTTGTTAGTTTTTGCCTGCAGATCTTCAAGTTTATGTGACATTAGGCATAAGTCATCGGCGAAATCCAAGTCTTCTAGGTTCTTTTCCGTCGTCCAGTGTATCCCCCTCTTCTCGCTGCCTACTGTTTGCTGCATGATCCAGTCCACCACAATCAAGAATATCATGGGGGATAGTAGGCAACCTTGTTTCACTCCTGTCTTCACTTCAAAGGCATCACTGAGCTTCCCATTGTGGATTACTTGGCATGTGGCATCTTCATATAGTTGTTGAATGAGGCGGATAAAGGTTTGCGGCACTCCGTAGTATTGAAGCAGTTTCCAAATTACTTCTCGGTCGACGCTGTCAAAGGCCTTCTCAAAGTCGATGAAGTTGAGGTGGAGAGGTGATTGCCATTCTATGCTCTGTTCTATGATGATGCGAAGCGTTGCAATTTGGTCTGCACATGATTTGTACTTCCTGAAGCCTGCCTGTTCCGGTCGTAGTTTTGAATCCAGTGCATCCCTTAGCCTCTCCAGGATGATGCGGCTTAATATTTTACTTGGGGTGGACAGGAGAGTGATTCCGCGCCAGTTCTTGCAAGCACTGAGGTCTCCCTTCTTCGGCAGTTTGACAAGGTAACCCTTCTTCCAATCGTCAGGTACCTTCTCTTCCTTCCACACCTTCTGCAATAGTGGTGTGAGCATGGCCGCTGTTGTCTCTGCATCTGTTTTCAGTGCTTCTGGCGGTATTCCATCTGGTCCTGCTGCTTTCCCACATTTCAGTAGCTTTATGGCGTTCAGGACTTCCATTTTCGTTGGGGGATTAATGTTCACTTGTAGTTCAGCGGCTGCAGGTGGTATTTCTGGACGAAGTGCAGGTGGTGGTCGATTCAAGAGCTTCTTGAAGTGGTCGGCCCATCGTTTCCTCTGTTTCTCTTCTTTTGTAATTAAATTTCCTTCTTCATCTTTTATTGGTTTCATCTGTGTTGGTCTCTTCCCTGACAGCAACCTGGTTATTTGATACAATGTCGTCAGGTCTCTCTTACCTGCAGCCTGTTCTGCTTCACTTGCCAGTGTTTCGTAGAAGTGTCTTTTGTCGTTGCGTGCACTCTTCTTCACTTCTTTGTCCAGTGTTTTATACATTGTGCTCAGTTCCTCTTGTCGTTGAGCATCCTTGCACTGGTTTATCTTCTGCTTCACCATCCTCCTCTCCTCTATCAGCTTCCAGGTATCCGTCGAGATCCATTCCTTGTCTTCTTTCTTCTTCCTTCCTAATACTGTTGTGCAGGTTTCTTTCCACATAGCTTTCAAAGACTTCCAATGTTCTTCCACACAGGTTTCTTCAGGGATGTTGCTCGATGTCTCCCATTTTGTCTTGATGGCTGCCTTGAAGATCTCCTTTGTAGTTTCATCCTTCAGTTTCCGAGTGTTGTACTTGGGTTGAGGTCTATCACCAGCTTCCTTGAAGGCTTTTAACTTGATTTGGAAGGTTCCTTGCACTAGGTAGTGGTCTGAACCTACATCTGCTCCTCTTCTTGACCTTGTGTTAAGTAGACTGCGTCTCCATTTTCTTGAGATTGAGATAAAGTCGATTTGATTTTTAGTGTGTCCATCTGGTGAAATCCATGTCGCTTTGTGGATATCTTTGTGCCTGAACACACTGCCTCCAATCACCAAATCGTTGAATGCGCAGAATTCTGCAAACAATTCTCCATTCTCATTCATTTCACCTAGTGCCTCTCGACCCATGGTTAGTTCTCTTCCCGTGTTGTCCCCTCCCAGTTTGGCATTCATGTCGCCCATCAGAATTTTGATATCGCCAACTGACGTCTTGTCCAGTGTTGATTGAAGTTGTCTGTAGAAATCCTCCTTTTTCTCTTGCTCTGCATTATTTGTAGGTGCATAACATTGTATGATTGTGACCTTTCTTCCTTTTGAGTTGAATCTTGCTGTCATGATCCTGGAGGAGATTGGTTCCCACTGCATGAGAGCCTTCGATGCTCTTGAGGACATCATGATAGCCACTCCCTCAGTGTGCTCGTGGTTGGCGTCTGGGTGACCGGAGTAGATTATTGATTCTCCAGTTGACAGTTTGGAGAGTCCACTCCCATTCCATCTGCTTTCGCAAATCCCAAGCACTTCGATGTTATACCTTCTCATCTCCTTTGCAATCTGGGCTGCCTTACTGGGTTCAAACATCGTGCGGACATTCCATGTCCCCACGTTTACTTTCGCTTTCATCGAGAGAAGACACATCGGCCAATTGGCTTCCCGAAGGCTTTCACCAACTGGCGTCATTTCGCCTCTCCGATTCCAGCGGGGAATAAGTTTGTTTTCATTTTTTATATTTTGTTTGTGCTTTGAAGTTTCTTTAGCGGTTAGATTTGTTTTACGGGGTAGGGTTGCTAGCCCTATGCCCAACCTTCCCTCTTTACCCGGGCTTAGGACCGGCTAGTAACTAGTAAACTAGTTAACCAGGCGAGGTTACCATTACCAATGGCAAGTTCTATTTGTTGTTATTAACACTCACCAGTAAGACATATCTGCAACCATAAATAAGCTGATATTCTTTCAGGAATTCTAAATCTGTGTCACTTAGCGCTGAAGGTAGTTACAAACTTTATCATCAAGCTATTCAAACCACAAATGATTAATTGTAGAACTGAAATTAGTACATAAATTGATCATCTATTGGTAACCGATCCAATTGTCTAATCCTCACCTCTCGTTACTAATCAAAGTCCGTCAATAGAGTTTTTTAATATGATCATTGAGTGAAGCGAAATGATACGTAAGAATCAGCTGATAATCATAAAGTTGATTGTACTTTTTTTGCAATCTATTTGATGATGACTAGTAGTAAAATCCAGGAGATGAGTTTCATTCTGTTTAGAACTCATCAGTCAAATGAGTGATATTGTCCCGCCTTAAGACTCAAACCCTCTATGTATCAATTCAAATCGGAAAAAGACGAAGATTATCTGAAAAATGTGTGTAGTGTATTTGCGCCAATACATTTCGAACAATCTGCTCAATCACACACTTACTTGTCAAGTCAATTTATATATGAAAATTAAAGGTGAAATATAGTGAATATGAAAAGGTTGTGACACTAGTCTTAGTAATATAATCAGATTGCCAAGGATTACCAAGGTACACACAGTGGGGAATAAGTTTACGAATGGCCAACGCTTCGGCAGACTTCAGTTTGCGCTCCTGATTATTCTTGTATAATATCTTGAAGGCTGTTTTCGTATTAACCTTGTGGTTCATTTCAATGAAAATGTTTTGCTATAGATGACGATGGATGTCTGTTACCTGCACTTATCAAAGTTTGTGTGTTAAACTGTTTTTCTAGCCATTTGAGGATGTGTTCACCCACCCTAGTCTGCATTGAACGATTACTCCCCCCTATGTATGTGTGCTCACACATACATGTAAATTGGTAAACACAGTAGGATATGATGTAATCATTTGTGTGAGGTTGAGGTTTATGGTGAAGCAGGTGTTTTGCTGCATAGTATGTTTTACTGATAACAGATTTTAATCTCTGCTTCAATATCATACTACTTGTTTCCCTCTGTATGGTACTTTAAGAAATATGCTTTTCTTTGGGACCAAGGAAACTATAGGCTTTGGGGTCAGGTGTTTTTTACAATGGTTGACAAACTGTAGTGGATAACCGTTTTCCACTAGAGTGTCATTCATCGTATCAGATGTACAAATACGTTGGATTCTATTGAAAAAGCATCTTACCAAGCCTCTCTTATATTCCATCGGATAAAAACTATGGAAATTCGAATACTGTCCTGTCCAAGTAGGTGTTAGCCATTTGTAAACTTAATCCCCACTGTGTGTACAAAAACCAATTTGTTATTTCACTTCATTTACCTTGGTAATCCTTGGCAATCTGATTATATTACCAAGACTAGTGTCACAACCTTTTCATATTCACTATATTTCACCTTTAATTTTCATATATAAATTGACTTGACAAGTAAATATGTGATTGAGCAGATTGTATTGCGCAAATACACTACACACATTTTTCAGATAATCTTCGTCTTCCAATAGCCTTATCGAAAATAATAGTAGTATCTGAAGATTTATCTAAATTTCAAACACAATCTACTATTAGTGTTATTGCTTGTATTACACCGTCGTTGATTGAACCGAGTTGATCAGTCTCTGTTGGCATATGGGCTTCTATGCGGATGCCTCGATATTGCTTGTGTTTTAATTATATATAGTAATGATGAGCAATGGCTAGCAGTGGAATAGAGGATGCTCATCTCTTCCTATTTGGGACTATAATTAAAATACAGGCAATATCGAGACATCCACACAGGAGCCCATATGCCAATACAGACCGATCAATTCGGTCCAATCAACAACGGTATAATACAAGTAATTATACTTAAACGATACCATCGCACAAGAAGTGGCTATCGTGGCCCGGTGGCGCGGTGGATAACGCTCTGACGTTTGAAGCGATCACTCCAGAGTGCGAATCTTGGTGAAAACAATATCACTCACTGGGAGGTAGGTACATCCAACTGAGGAGTCCCGAATAGGACGAAATGCCCATCGTGGATTCCACTGCCCATCATTACTATACTATCTACTGTCCTCCTCTAGTGTAACCATGATATTGAAGGGAAGGAAAGATAAATTATAAAGTTCGAATATTGTTGTTGATATAGAAAATAAAATAATGGTATGTTGACCTATCTTTTTGCATTTTTCGATTCGTTTTTTATTCATGTTTTATGTTTAGAATATAGGATCATTGACTGACAATCAACTTACTACATTCCTTATGAATTTCAATACATGTTATACAACACACACACACACAGAAATAGATAATGCATCTGTCTTCTATACTATCCTATAAATGTCATTTAATTTTGTAGAGTGCATAGAAGTTGGATAGTAATGGGATGTGTATGATATGGGGGATACGGGTTGGGTAGAACAATGTTGAACAATGTACAGAAACAGGTAACGATTTGGGCACACTGATTCCTTACTTTCTACAGAAACACTGACTTAACTAGGTCATTATATATATATATATATATATATATATATATATATATATATATATATATATATATATATATATATATATATATATGGGTGTAGTTCCAATAAAATGTGCATTCTCTATACACTTTTATACGAGCGTGTGTGTGTGAGTGTGTGTCATAGAATTTGAACTACTATTCCAACATATCCACGTCACTTCTATCCTGTAAAATCTGTTCAATAAACTGAAAGTTACCTGGTTAACTAGCTTGTCTGATATAGATGTGATTTAGTTGTTTTACATTTATCATGAAATAGGATTTCAAGTTAGTATTCATTGTAAACTGATATTAGTTGAAGGAACAAAGAAAACCTGGGAGCACTGGACAGCTGTTTCGTCCGACTAGTATGGGACACCTCAGAAGTGCGCACCCACGACCCCATACCACCAGGGGTCGAACCTGCAACCTTCAAGTTCCGTGGCCAGCACGTTACCATTGAGTTAACCACTGAGTGAGAATCCAACCGTCCATATCTCCAACTTCTGTTAGCTCACGATATGGCGCAACCGCCACCCAATGTCATTGTTGAATAACTGTCCTCACGACCATCAGGCTTTGCCCCAACCTGTCATGACTTCTCATTGGAACTTCGAGAATACCTCTTGAAGAAAGTCATCGATGATCACCAGTTCAATTGAGTGTTTGAGGGAGTTGTTTGGATTTGGAAATATTTCAAGTTGTTATTCATCGTAGACCGACATTAGTCGGCTGTCCAGTGCTCCCAGGTTCCCTTTGTTCTTCCAACTGATGTCAGTCTACGATGAATACGAACTTGAAATATTTCTAAATCCCCACAACCTCCTCGAAATGGGATTTGATAAAGTACTACCGAACCAGTAACTTACAGGTTTCTAGTTCGACTCCCATAGTAAATAAAGTTTCACGTTTCCCTTTCAATTATTACCTGGAAACAACCAGTAAGATGGTTTGATTTGATACTGTTCACTAATCGGGGCTGGTTAGCATGGAAAATGCACCTTATTCAAGTACTGAGACCAGATATCCTACCAAAAGAATGTTCAATCTGTAAAATGTGTGTCAATTATTGTCATTTATTGATACTCGTATTTCCTCGTTGCTATTCACTTAAAACTGATCCAGAAGACATTTTATACTTTTCTAGTGGTTCATTATCGTGAAATCTTCATTTCACTATATGAAGTTTATTTATTACTGTAATTATCTTCTTCAAAGCTTTCTAAAACTGTCTCAAAAACTGTTCTGTTATTTAGTCATTTCAGATTTCCTTCTTTTCCCGCCAACATGGTGTACATCGTATTTCCCGCATTTTCTAAATGCTTTCATCTCATTGGTTGATATATCATTTTGAATAAATTATCTGATTTGAACGATTGATGTTGTATTTCTTAGACAAGGTTGTATAAAATATTTTTTATCAAGCCTTTTTATGACTCTCATTTACTTGATAGGAGCTAGCAGTGTGGTATCCAGGAGTCACGTTTCGTCCAATTCGGTAACATCATTCACTAGGCTACAGATATATCTGTTGATGACTTCTAAATTGGACGAAATGTAAGTATTTCGTGGAACATGTTTTATATACACTTTCTGAATATGTAGAAGACATTTGTCTCCTACTCCTCTCTTATTCAACTTCCACTCTGTGACAATCATATAGTCCTTCAATATATAGGGAAAATTATTAGTAATTCTGAACAGTATTCACCCATGTTTAACCAGCTATGTCATATCGAAGTTATCTGATTCTAAAACTGTTGTTCTCGTTCTGTTTAAACTTATCAAAGTAGAGAATTGTATAAAATACCTTCGAAATTCTTCAGGAAAAAATATTCTCTGAAAAAAAAGTGTACATTTTACAGTTAATCTTATGATAAACTTGATGAAGACACCTATAAGTTGTAATTGCAGATTTAGACTGAGATTTCCTGCCATGGAATACAATGATTTTGTTTAGGTATGATTCAAACATACCCCAGTGGTCTATTAGATAACACTTTGACGTTTCATGCGATAGATATCGGGAACAACATCACTCACTTAGGGATGTAGATACATCGAACTGACGAATGAACTCCAAACAACAAGAAATTCACGTCTTAGATTCCGCTATTAGGCATTATATAGACTATGATGTTTTGAAGTGTATACTTTCATAACATAGTAATGTATTAAATTATATGCATTCAAGTGTAAACATTCCTTACTTGTTTAAATGGTGCATTTCCAGTGTTTGGATTCACTGGTCGGCGGATTGTTTGAGCTTTAGGCGGTAAATTAGGTGTACGTTCATACACAGCATTGATAAGTCTTTGAAAGGAAATAGAAAAAAAAATACAACATAGTATATCAAATTAATAATATATATTATTCGAAATTCTGTATCGACTATGATTAGAGATTTTCTTTCGTTCCCAGTGAAATACTCCTCAGACGTCTTAGCCATATCTTACTCAAGTTTAAATCTAATGAAATTCATTCGGAAATTGACAGAAAAAAAGATAGTAATGATAAATAGCGGCTAGTAATAAAATTCAGAATATAAGTTTCGTATTATTTAGGACTCATCAGCTGGATGTACATTTCTGAAATCAACAACCAATTATATGAAAAAAAGATAGGTTTCCCATGAATGAGATCTACTTTCATGATTCTTTCTTGCCTAGTTTTTAATATTTCTTATATCATGTATTTCAGCAATTTAGTCCCCTTAATAAGCTTGAACAATCTAGTAAGAACATCATTTACAGAATAAGATGACGTAAGTTTATTTCAAAAAATTCTCATCAGCTGTATACAACCTGTATACTGTAAAGAACAATACCATGCCTTAAAAGGAACGTTATACGATACAGGTAAGTGTTTCAGAGATAAAGAAAAAACTTGGCAGTACGTAACGCGGAAGAGGTTCAGGTGATAAGTTCAATCATTTCAATAACAACATAAATGAGCAAGTTGATGGAGTAAACATATGAAATGCGCGAAGATTAGTAATGGTAAATATTTTTATGTTACATTTAGAAAACTTCACTTTAAAAGCCATAATCAACGAAATCACTCAAGAGATACTGACAATATCTTCACTATCTATGAAAATGTTCGAATTTTATCGAAACATAGTAAAGACGAAGAAGGATTCAACCGTAAAGCCACATGGAATGGTCAGCCTCTGCGAAATCAGTTACAGTAGAGGCTTAATGAGGACGTCATACCAAAGCGTAGAGACATCATGCTCCGAAGAAAAATTGCAAGAAGTATTTGCACTAATTGGAAAATATCTACACAATAATAGTTATCCAATAAAGTTCAGGCAACAAGAAGAGAGAGATGGCTGTAACATTGTTGAAAGGAAAGTAGTGTTTCTTACTTTTTCTATCAAGGGAAATGATGCTGCTGCGAGAATCGATGGTCGAACCAGGAGCGTATTGTCTGGGACGTAGCCAACTGTCAGACTTGTCTTAGTGCATCAAACAACATGTGCAATCATACAATCGACATCAGAAGGGTTACCAACTCCTGTTAACTCCAATTGTATTTATCAACTCACATGTACATGCGGAAACAAGTATGCAGGAAGAACATACCAGGATTGTTGAGCATATAACAAAGGGCCTACATCTCAGAGGTTCATCTTCACTCAGAAGTCCATTAGCTGGTCAGTTATGTCATATATGACATGAAGCAGATGTGAGGAATTTCTTCACAGTGGTCAACAGACAAAAGACTTCGCTGTGAATTCGAATCGCCAAACGCATCACTATCTCATGAGTTTGACGAAAACTGTGTTTTCGAAATGAGACAGTTACCAGTCCCTGTTGTTCTGGTATAATTAGTGATTTTTTCACCCTATAAAATGAAGCCATCTTATTACGCAACTAATGTTCTCATTGCCTTATTCAAGTTAATAAAGAGAAACGTAGAACACTGGAGATAACAAAAAGCGTATACATTTGCATTGTTGTGATCAATTTCGAACCATTTGATCAGGAGTCTGAATCATTGATTCCTAGAGTTTCAGTAGTCCGAATCAAGTAGCTTACACCTTCGTACACGGCTCAGACCATGAGATAGAGATTTCGGGGACTGGTGCCATGTCTCAGTTATTTCACGCATAACCTTAGTCCTACGTAATCCTACTTTGGTTAGCATAGGATTTCGAGGTAGGTAGTAATTCGGTATGCTGAAGTTTACAACATCATCGACTGAATTATCTTCGTAGACTCGTACTCACACTATTTTCTCAACGTTGATGAGGAAGACCACGTAGACACCTATGTTCGAAAGCGTGTAACCCCCTTCCAAAGCTCCAGTTTCAGTGATTGTCTCTTACCTATATAAGAAGAAAGAACCGAATGGTGCACAGTATATTTTTTCTGTTATATCCAGTCGAATATTTCACCAACACTGGACATGTTTTCAGTTGTTATATGCTAAGACTTAGTCAGGTTGATTGAAATCCTAAAGTCGAGTGATCTACACATTCCGCAACTTCAATTCCTATCCTAAAACTAGAATTCGATGCATGCCAGTCATGAAGTATCATCTTGAATCTGACGAGTTCAATACTCGTTCCAAAAATATATAAACTCTCACTATTTATTGATATGCTTGTAATTCTCCGTTGTTTTATTGGATCGAATTGTTCGACCTTTGTTAGCATATGGGCTCCTATGCGGAAGCCTTGATATTGCCTGAATGTTAGTTATGGTAATTGGTTGATCTTAGCTAACAGAGGAATCCAACTTGACACGTGTTTCATCCTAGTTGGGACTTGTTATCTAGATGTACTTGCACCCTAATAAGTAATGTTATTCCAATTGACACTCGAACCTCTTAGCCATTGCTCCAAACGCCAGGGCGTTGCCGATTATACCACGGAGGCATGATATCCACCTCTTGTTCAACGGGTAGGAGTTAGTAGTATTTATTGACATACTTGTAATTCTCCGTTGTTTTTATAGGAAGTGATGAGTACGAGGTTTGAGTCTGACTGGAGTGGAAGTACATTCAGTTAAAAAGTCCCAAACAGGACTAAACATGCATCCTGGATTCCTCTACTAGTCACAACCAACCAAATATAAGCTTTTGCTTATGGTATACAGAGAGTAAGTTAATCATTGAGAAATCAGAATTCCATTGAACTTCTTTTCCCATTTAGTTTAGCCAGATCGATGAAGTATGAGTGATAAATTAGTTTTCAAATAGGGAACCAATAAAAATTAAAGAGCACTCGAAAAGTGTTTCTTCCTACTTCTGGACTCCTCAGTAATGTGCACCCATCACCTCACCGCTTCACGAATCGATAGCAGGATTGATAAGTGTCACGAAGTACCTGAAACCACTCAACTGCAACAAACTTCTAATACTTTTAAACTAGTGTCAATTCATTTTACAGCACTACGATTGTCCAACATCATCAGTGAACTCTTATCCTTGTACCCTAATCGCTTCATTTCATCTTTCATTACTTGTTATCACAAAATGAAGAGATCTGTCTGAAAACTGGTAATCTATAAGTACAATTCAAATGGACACCATCTTATGATTTTTTAGATGATCGCACTACATCAAGAATTGGTAGATGTTGGAAAGTGTATAGGTTGTCTAATTACAATCCATTATCTGAATGGTTGATAATATCCTTTTCATAGGACCTGGTAGTTCTAGGTTTCAGTTCACATATGGTGATGTAGTGTGTAGTCATCCCTGGATATTCCAGAACTAGAATAATAATCATAACAATAATGATAATAATAATTTACTTTATTCCAAACAACTTGTGGTACAGTGTTATTCCCGGTGGGAACAACATCACTCACTGGGGAGAAGGTACATCCAACTGACGACTCCCAAATACGACGAGATGTGCATCCTCCATTCCGCTGCTAGCCAGGTTCCATCTTTACTATAACTAGAACACAGGCAATATCGAGACATCCGCACAGGAGCCCATATGCCAATACACACCGATCAATTCGGTTCAATCAACAACGGTATAATACAACCAATTATACTTAAACGATACCCATCGCACAAGAAGTGGCTATCGTGGCCCGGTGGCGCGGTGGATAACGCTCTGACGTTTGAAGCCATCGCTCCCGAGTTCGGATCTCGGTGGGGACAATATCACTCACTGGGAGATAGATACATCCAACTGAGGAGTCCCGAATAGGACGAAATGTGCATCGCGGATTCCACTGCTAACCACTGTCCATCTTTACAATTTGTGGCACAGTTTGGAATTCGCTGCATGATGTATTCTAACAACAACAACAACAAAGTAGAGATGTATGTATGTATATGCACCTTGACAATATTTCGAATTGTGTTATCATAAAAATTTAAGTTGTGTAAAGAATATTAATAAAGAGAACATTTTACATTGTTAACTAAATTATTGAAATGAGAGTGTTAACTGTTGGAAAGTTGATATGTGAGTACTGCTCTAACACCCTTTTGTCCTCACGTAATCTGTCTGTTAGGTGTAAGCGAGGCGCAGTCGATTTCTTGTACTTGGCTTTACTAGCGTACAGTCTTAGGTAGTTTCTTCTTGTCCTTCCTGTGAGGAGATACAAGGAGACAGAAGTGTGAATGAAGTTGATGTTCAGTGTCAATCAAAATTACTGTGGCTAGTTGTTTGCTAGAATTTAAATATCTATCAACTACCACAGTGTTAATCAGTTGGGCTAGAGGCACACTACTCATGCTATTGACTGACGGCTTTCAAAGACCTATACAATATAACATAGTCCTTGTATAGTGGTAAACCAGGAAAGATCAACGGGAAATAATAGAGAAGAATAGGTAATATATAAGAGAACTTCAGTTTGTGTATGTAATATATATTGGAAGAAAGATTTTTTTGCAAGTCAATAAGATATGAGACAACCAACGAAGATCAGAAGTAAAAGTCAATCCAAGATAGGTAGTACTCAATTTACTTTCTACAGAAATACCACAAATGATGCAATGGTGGGAGTCATAGAACGTCAGCAGTTCACACAAGTCTTGTTTGTGCCTGTGGTTAGAGTTAATAGCCTAGCATTGAGAGAGACCATTGGCTAACTTCAGAATTAAACGGCTTCCCAATGTTCCGTATATATATATATCCATCAGAAGTTCTCCCATGATGAAGACTACTTTGTAATCAGCTAGTTATATACAAACCTGTCATTGTGTAAAGAAGTATTATCACTCATGAATACTGAATACAGTCATTCCCGGTGCTAAACTGCTATGTTATTATGTTTGAAGACTTATGAGGTGAATGATTAACCAGTATAAAGATGGTATACAACACGAACTGATAT